TAGAAGAGAAATGTTGGCAGTGGCTGCCTCTAAGGATGGCTAAGGGGTGAGGGATGGAGGAAGACTATTCACTGTATACTCTTTTGTCCCTTTTGAAGCTTATATAATGAACATATGCTATCTATTCAAAATAAATAGCATTAAAGAAGAAAAGAAATGCCTTTGAATTAAAGAATAAAAATAAAATGAAGATGTTATTACTTAAGTAATCATAAAACAGAAGTTATTTCTTTAAAAAGGAAATAAGGACAACTAACTTGTGCCTGGGACATTTTTAAGAAGAGACATATAAAAGCAAAAATTAATATGGTAACCCATGACTGAATGAAGAAAACACGTTAGCACTACACTGAATGTGATATAAACTCCAATAGCAAACAGCAGTAAAAGGAAGGAAACAAACAAAATGATATACCAATTATTTTTCTTTATGTACAGTTTTCTATCTTTATTTTTACCTTTAAAAGGATCTGCTATATTTTAAATCATAAACCTGTATATTTTAAATCATTTAACTTGTTAGTCAAACAAGATAATATATAAGGAACTATTTTATAATAAAAAATGTTCATAAAATCTGAGTTTATAATCTACACCTAAAGTTTAAGAAGACTTCTACTTAGGATTACAGTTTATTAAGTCAGTAAGTAAGAACATGGAATATGAATATGAATATATACATATATATATATTTTTTGTTTCTTGGTGAAACAATGATAAGGAATGAAGGCCAATCAGTACACAAAATCTATTTAATCATAGCATACATAAAGTATACAACATATTGAAACTCGGTCACCATGAAGAACACAGCTTCTATGGAGGAAATTATTTCAGAATTGTATCCCGAAGGCCAGAAACTCTTTTTCCCCACTGTGCTGGGGTCACAGTTGTGTCTCCCTCCCTCTTCTGCAGTAGGAGTGAGGACTCCTTCATTCCTGACCCTAGCAGTAGCTCCTTCAGCCTGTGGGCCTGGAAGGTGTGTGGGTCAGGAAGAACTTGAGGACTGGCAGGTTTTTTAAAAAAACAGTTTAAAAAACTGGCAGGGGTTTTTAAATCCTGGTGGCAATGATGAGAACATCCTACAATGTCATTCCTTCAAAGTCCCCTCCCGCTGAACCCTCTCCCCCCTTCCCCTCCCCCCCCCAACCCCAGGCTTAATCCCAGGTCACTCCCTCTTTTATATCAGCAGACTCTGGGGTTGGCCCTTTCATTACCACCAACTGAGCTTTACAACCAGGTTGTCTATGTCCCTTTTTTGCAGTGTTTCAGCTTCTCTCTACCTTCCTAATAATAGCAAGCAAGACCCTCCTGTCCCACCAAAAATAAAAAAAAAGAGAGAGAGAAAAGAAAAAAAGAAAGCAAACCTAGTGCCCTTCTAATGTGTTTATTCATTTGTTTTATTTGTTTAATGAAGGCAAAGTAGAACAGGAATAAGCCCATTCCCATTCGTCTACCTACTCCATCTCCACCCAAACCTAACAGGAAAAGACGTATGTAGAGTTGGCTCTTTGGGTGTACCAATAATAAAGTATCACTCTCCTTTCAAAATAAAACCAACCTGGAATCAACCTCAGCATTCCATGAGTTGAATACTGAAAGCAATATAAAAAAGAGAAGCAGGCAGGAGAGGAGAGAAATAGTGAGTTAACATCTGGGGAAAGGGGCCGCTGACGCCAACAGAAAGAAACGTAGCTAAAGGCGCTGTGACGAAGCACATGGGCACCCCTGGAGCAGCACGGTGGGGGCCACACAGGCCACTGTGCTTGCGCCTCGCTGGACTTCCACTTCCCAGATCACACGTGACGGACTGCACTTGGGGAGGAAGGGGGAGCGGGAGAGGAGCTGCAGAACCTGAGGGACGGGGACACAGCGCTCCTGTAGTCACTGAGACTGCACACTGGGTGCTTATTCTCTGGGGGCCCTTTGTATGGAGGGCCATACTGAGGTTGTCAGGGAAATGCCATATGCCTTCACACTATGGTTCCTACTGAGCACCCCCACTCCTAGTTCACAGAGAACAACCAGTGACCATAGTTCACTCCATCCCATGAAGACCAATAATCTGAACATTCTGCAGAAAGAAAAGAGTCTTCAGAACCCACATCCGCATCCCACCCCCCCACACACACACCTACAATACCTAAAGCTGATCCTAACTTGAAAATGAAACAAAAGTAAAAGGTGAAATGTCCGTAAGCATCCTTTTCCCCTGCTTTTCTCTCTTCGGCTTCTCTCACGTGAAGAAAAGGCCACAGGTCAGACAGGAGGCACCCAGTGGAGCCGGATGATGGGCTGACCTGGCCAAGACAAAGGAGCCAGAGGCCAATTAAAGGAACAGGTGGTCTTCGACCCTACAAATGCGCCTGATGTGACCCACACACCAAGGAGACACACACTTTCCAGTAACATTGTTTTCACCAACAGCACCACAGGCATAACTGCAAATGTTTGTCACTCTTATTCCTTTTCTGAACCCCTGCTCCAACGATGCCCGTTTTCTAAACTCTTACAGCCCTTGAGGAACCTCCTGCCCCACCACTGTCTCTAAAAATGTCCTCTCCTTTTCCCAGTCTTCATTCAAAGCTTGCCTAACACAGGCGGTGTAAGGTTACTATTTTTATTATGATGACAGCAATTCATAGCAAGGAATGAATGAGATTTAATGGAAGGTTCCTTTCTATTTTAAGACATGTAAAATGGAAGAGGAGGGGTTAGTGTGTATGTTTGAACAGGGCCTTCCAGGCTCAAACCCACTCCAGTTCACAAGAGTTCCTATTCAAGGTTCTCCTAATTTTTACTTCCAAGAGAATGGAGTACCCTTACTTCCTCAGTCACTACACACCCCCCCACCCCACACACACAACCCTTATGGACATGTACCAAATACAAGTACAAGGTACAACATCATGCCATTGATTCCATTAAGGATGCTTTTTATCAAGCAAATGCTGGTAGTGCTTACAAAGCAGAGTGACTGTCTTATGTTAAATTGCCTTTGAAACTATCAGCTAAGTTTATTTTGTTTGACAGTGCCGTTTTTAAGACACTTAACACCTGATTTGCAAATCTCTGTCAGCTGTTTACAAATAAAGTTCCTTATTCATAAATGTAAATGAAATCACCATCCTAATGGAAAACAAACAAGAAACAAAGCATCTTATCTCCATTTAGGCCCAATCTCACCTTTTAGCACATCAGGTCCTAGAACTATATTTCACTCCAAGCTCTACAGAAACAGGGCTACTGAGTTCTGCAGGCAATAAAAATTTGGAGAGCTACATTTGTGCCAATTGGCAAACACAGTTTTCAATCAGCCACCTGAACTACATGGGGAGGCTGGAGTCAACACTATTTTCAGAAGCAACAGTGCCAAGTCAACAGGAAGATGACAAGCATTCTGAATCAAGTTCTTAGACTATGGCCTTGAGTTTTTCTAGAAAGCAGCTATAAAAGGAGGACTGAGTGCAACTTTGATATTTACATCAAGTCACGACTAAGGGGCAGGTTTGCAAAAGCAATTGTGTAGTTTTATACTTACTGCACATTTACCACATATGTCCTTTATTACACAGTGGAAAACCATTAAATGCACAGTAGTTTTGCCAAGTGGCATTATGCATTTAACAGCTTTATTCGTTTAACAGCTCCAACTCTCATTATATTTTGCCATGTGGTACATGGGATTTTATGCATTTAACAGTTTAAGAAGGCTCTATGGTATTTTCTTTTCATGTATTTCATACTATGATTGGACATGATATCTTAGCCAACTATATTGCAATGATTTCATTGATGAGAGAAAGAATAATCTGGAAAAATCATGACATCAAAATTGAATAGGGGAAACAAATATTTCAACCCTCTTCGAAATTGCTGAATATTCTACTGCTCTCTTTTTACCTGAAAAATAATTTAGGTGACTGCAAAACTACAGGTAAAAAAGTCTATACCCCAAACCATATAATTAGTATACATATAGCATTTAACTATCATTCTAAAAACTTAATTTTCATTAAAAAACCATCTTGCTTAAAACAATATTCAGTAACTTCCTTTCTCTGCAGCACAAAGCAGATCTGTTCAGGAGAGGATGGACCATTTTACCATTTACATATGTAGGGATGAAAGCATTTGTCATGCAAGCCCACAGAGGAAATCAAGCTCTGAATCAAAGGACTCTCAAAATTAAGCTTTAACTTTTGTTTCCTCCACCCTGCATCTGAGTAATTGTTCAATCCAGAAATAAATAAATAGGCACCTCAACATAACCCATTCTAGGATAGGGCAGTAGTTGTCCCTTTAAACGAATTGAAACAGACAGTACAGCCCTTCAACTGTTGCTGCTTTCAGAAATAAAAAACCTAGGCATCTGTCTACTTTCTCCCTGGAGCATTCCATTCCCTACAATCGCAGCACTCTGCAAAATTGTACTGGATAAGCTTCTCTGTTTTTCTGTTAAAGATCTCAACACTCACTCTGCAGTCCCCAATGTGTGTTTTCTCCTGGAAAAACAACTGTATTCTCTACATAAAAGAAACACCTGACATTGCAAGGTGTCTCTGGGGCTGGGTTGAAAAGCAGTTATTATAACAAAGTCATCCATTCCCCTGGTGGGAATAAGAGAGGTGACGAGACCTGGCTAAAACTTGTTCTCAGGAAGATGCTGTTCTGAACACACCAAGTTTTGCTCAAATATCCAAAAGAGAGAGAAAAAAAAGCATATATAGCAGTATTCAGAATTGGGAGAGACATCCCTCAAGGCTGATTCTTTTTGGGGGGGGGGGGGAACTTGAAAAAAAATCTGGGTTTTGACTTAGTCTTTATTGTGAACCCTGATGGGAATAAAAGCAAACTGTAGAGCAAAAGGCAAGAATGTGACAGGTTCCCTAGGGATTATTATTGTTATTATTATTATAGGAACAGATGTATTTTTATTGGTGGGAGGAGGAGAACAGTCTAACTCCAGCCTCACTTTGGCTCTTTAAAAATCCACTCACCTGACTTTTATTTGCAGCCACTTTGGCAAACAGGGCTTGGGACACCTTGGCCCTTTTCATCTCCTGTTGGATCTCGTCATAAATGGCAGCTGTGATGTTGACGTTGGCGCCGTCCACCTTAATGGGGAGGTCTGTTGTCGGTGTCGAGGTTTTGGCCTACCAAGAGACCATGAAAATAATAATTTAAAAAGTGCTGCATTCAGCCCAGCCATCTGTGCAGAAATTACCAAAGGATTTCAGTCAGCTGATGCCAAACCGCATTAGCTACAGAGGGACACTTCCTGTCCATTATTCTAATCAGGTTAATTGTGATTGGAAATAATTGCAGCGCATTCCTATAGGACATGCAGAGTCCTGTCAGCCCTGTCGTTCCCCTCACAGTAGCCTCGATGGTTAGCAGGATGGCTACGCCGGGTACCAAACTCAAGCCATCACCTAACTGCAACACAAGCATGCAGAACACACACACAGTTACTTTTTTCCTTCTGAAAAAAGAACACCTTAGAGGAAGTCAATCTTCCAGGAAAATAAAAAAAAAAACAAATGAGTAAATGGGTAGAGGTCTCTAAATAATAAATTATTACTCAATTTAATGCACTCCCCTGAGTCTCTCTCATTCTTTATTAAAGCTTTACGTATGTCATTTGAGTATGTATGGCTTCCCACCATTATCATCATTATGCTACCCAGACAGTCACCTAATTTCACCTAGGAAATCAGTGGAAATGAAACAAAATTTCATTTCATAAAACTAGGCTTCAGAATGCCTTTGAAGTGCTGTTTTCATTTTCTTAAACTCATATTGTGGTTTTATGTATTCTGCAGTGCTCGTTTTAATTGAATGATTTCCCATCAGCTTCAGAGACAAATGAAGGACAATATAAAAGGTGTCTGTACTTCTTGGAGTTAGGATAACCCAAAAACGTTTGAACCTGCTTGATCCAGAAAACTACGGTGTGTAAGGAGCGGGGGCAGGGCAGCCTTCTCAAAACCCAGCACCACCAGACAAAGGAAAAAGTCTGCCCCCACCCTCAGATTGCTGAGCACCGCCAGCTGACTGGGTCTAAAGTGAGCTTTTTTCTTTTTGTACCCACCCACCCTAGAACCTTAAACCACTAATTTCCCCCTGTGGATGTCGTGAGCTGCTCCCCCACTGGACTGATAGTATGTCGGGTTTAGAGAGACGTGGCATACAGTGTGGACACCATGGGATCATTCCCAATGATGTCCTGAAGCCAGGGTCACATCCTAACTTTAAAAGAAGGCTTTGGTTCCTACAAGCACTCAGGGACTTCTGCCATTCTCCTGTGACCTTCCTGTCTCATATTGCTTTTTAATTACTGAAAAGTAACAGTAAGAATAACTTATACACATACTTTTTACGTGCCAGGCATTCCAGGAAGTGTTTTACTTTTGTCATCGCATTTTATTCTTTTAAGAACACAATGAGTTAAACATTATTTTCACTTTAGAGATGAAGACAACTGAAAACAAAAGAAGATAATTTGCTGGAAGGATATGCAGCAGCAAGTGAAATAACCATCATCTGAACTCAAGTGTCTCAAGTTCCAAAGGACAAGTTCATGGACCACTGTGCTACTCTGCCTCCGAAACCTCCAGTTTACACTGGTGCTATTTTTACACTTTTCTTCTTGCCCTGGAGTTTGAGGTCTTCCCATAACACTCTAATCCTCTCCCATCTTTTTCAAGAAGACTCCTTTTTCTTCCTAAAACTTCTAGTTAATCCAGAGTGTTTCCCAATTGAGTGAACATTTTAGCATACAATTTCTGCCTTTCTCGGTGCAGGTTTTTATTAGCCTCACTGACTTAACATCATGTTAACTAACTCATCAAATCTCTTCTGGAACACTGAGAGACAAAGTCGAAGCACAGAAATACATGCTTAGGGACCCAGACCTTGGAATCAGAATAATCAGAATTGAAATCCTAACTCTACCAATCATTTATATTACCGTACATGAGGTATTTAACCTACCTAAACCTCAGTTTCCTTATCTGTAAAATGGGAACAACAATGCAAAATGGTGAGGATCCAAATCCATGCAAAACATTCACAATACATGATATAATATGTGCTCAGTAAATGATCATTCTTATCCTTTTTTGTTGGTTTGTTATCATTAAATGCATTGAAAAATACTGACCAGTTGAAGGATTATGAGAAGAGACTGTACGGGTTGAATTTGAAATTTCTTCAATTTGTTTTAAACCAGTAATAAAGTGCTACTGGGTCTGGAAAATAATCTCCATGGACCTATGCAAGACCTTGTTTGTGTGCCCTGGAATGCTGGCTCCAACTCAAAGGCTGAACCCGTGGCACCTCTTTGACATTTGTTTGCACAATGAAAGACTTACAGTAATCTGTATCTACACCACTGAGACAGTTCTATAAAGAATTGTGATCAAATAGGTAATCATGAAATGTTTTAAACGTCTTTAATAATTCCATCAGTGCTTAACCAGCAGAATGTTCCAGACAATGTAAAAATGTCAGTCCACGACCATGTTTGCAAATATATTTTGAGAAAAATATTTAACATTTATTTTCAAAATCTCCAAACTGTGAAATTAAATGATCAATTTCCCTGTTAAATTTGTCTCTAAAGGACATCTTTATCTAGGAATTTTCTAGATGGGATTTTCTTCTGCTCAAAAAAACAAAATATTGGCTTTAACTGTGAAACCTTGTAAGTTGGTCTGGCTCTGAAAGCTACCAGGTCTTTGAAAAGATGCCTAAGATATAATCTTGTTAGAAAAATATTATGAAGGAGTGGAAAACAAAACACACAGACATGTGTGATTTTCTAACAAGAAGGAGTGACTTTCTGAGAAAAGTTGACCAGTTAAACAGCCATGAAGCATGGCTGGATTCTTCTGTAATGGCTTAATGGGCTTCAAAAGTGGCAAAAATGTTGGTGAATTTAATAGAAGTAAATATTAGTGCAAATTAACAACTCGCCCAACTCAATAGCTCAACATGTATGCCCCAAAATTTAAAAAAATAAAAGTAAAAAACCTTGGCTACACTGGTCCAAAGTAAGCAGTCAAGCGTCTTTTAGTTTTGGTTTAACAGTAACTAAAATTCATAATTCACTAAGGTCTAAGTATCACAATTTGGCAGTTCATGATAGAAAATGATCTTCAATTAAAAATCTATTGCAGAGTGTAAAAATATAGAGAGTTAAGATGTGTGAAAAAAAATGAATGTACTTGAAAAAGCTCAAATATTTCTATTAGAATAAAATTCTGCTTAATCAGTTCCTTAGACCTTGCCAGAAAACAAACTCCTAAACCCAAAACTATATGTATCTAAGCCAAAAAAAAAAAACAAATCACTTTTCAGCATACCCAATTTTCTGATTTGTACAAATGTACAACTGTTAAATATTTGGTTTGAAAACTATAACTCAAGAAGGAACTTACAACCATGCCAGCAACAGTAAACGAGATGACTTTCCTATAAGTCCGCTGATTAGTAAAAGCTTACGGGAAGCGCTGTGTGTGTACGTGCCTAGTCGCTAAGTCGTATCTCACTGTGACCCCAGGATTGTGGCCCTCCAGGCTGCTCTGTCCATGGGCTCTCGCAGGCAACAATACTGGGGAGGGCTGCCATTTCCTCTTCAAGGGGATCTGTCCGACCCGGGGACTGGACATGAGTCTCCTGCATCTTCTGCACTGGCAGGCGGGTTCTTTACCACTTATCCACCTGAGAAGCCGAGGGCCGTAGCTGCGCTGTGCTTAATCGCTCAGTCACGTCCTACTCTTTGCAACCCCGTGGACCGTAGCCCAACAGGCTCCTCTGTCCATGGGGATTCTCCAGGCAAGAGTACTGGAGCGGGTGGCCATGCCCTCCTCCAGAGGATCTCCCCAACCAGGACTCCCGCATTGCAGATGGAGTCTTCACCATCTGAGCCACCGGAAGCCCTGGAAGGGAAGTAGGGAGTGGACCAAGATCTGAATTGGAAATGACTCTTGGCTGACTTGAGAACTTGACCCTTCAGTTAAAATCTTTAAAGCAAACATTACTATTAAAAGATGTATGCATTTGCAGAAGGACCTGAGAACAGAACGTGTGGAAAGGAAGGATGGAAAGCTGAGCCAGGGTCCTGTGGGAATCACTGCAGGAAAGAAAACATGAAGGTCTACCTTCCCACCATTTTCTACAATCACTGAATGAGCTCCCAGTCATTCTGACCTAGCCACAGCATGTGCATGCTTCCATCACACACAGGCTCCTCATTCTGACCTAGCCACAGCATGTGCATGCTTCCATCACACACAGGCTCCTCATGGGTTGTGTCTCTTTCAGGTTGCATCAAGCAGAACTTGGGACTACTCGAGCTGCCACCAGCCCCCAACTGCCCTATGTCCATCCAAATAAATACACAGTTGGAGGAAAAGCAGTGTGCTTCCTATGCAAACTCAGCTTCAACACTAATACCCTAGTCCCTTCTTTGATAACCAAACAGCTGCATGTAGATATCTAGCAGTTATTCTCCCACCCACCCCTGCCACATATGGAAGAATGGGACTTGTTTAAAGGGAGAGAAATGGCATAGATGATACAGTAAAGGATAACCACTAGTATAGGGTCAGAGGTTCACATCCTCTAAGCCACATGTGCCATGGATTAAGAAGTCCTAGAATGACATCTCTTAGTTTCTGAGGGAAAACAGTATCAGTGAAGGCAAGATGTCTCCAAGGCAAAGAGTGAAAAGTCAGGGGAGCGAACATCTCACCTGAGGGGTTCGGGAGGAGCTGGGGCTACTGGAGGCTGACGAGACCATGCTCACGTTGGGGTTCATGCTCCGCTCTCTCTCATCCTGGTAGATGCGGTCCCGCTCCACTTCGGGCAGATTGAGGAAATTCTGCATGGCTCTCAGGTTTACTAAAAGCGACTGAGATGCTGTCCGAGGGTCTTCTTCCTTCCGCAGAATCTCAGACAACAACCCCTGATTAAATGGGAAAAAAAAAAAGTAGGTCACGTTACATCTGCAGGTATGTGGCGTGGTTTCTGGCTGGCGCACCCACCCCCACACCCTTCCCCTTTGTTTGGTGTAACCAGCGGGCTGTGATGTCAGGAACCTCGCTCTAATTCCTGACAGTTCTCCAGGAAGAAGATTTGGAGGGAATGTGCTTGGCGCCTGGGGGTTCTGCGTTATTTTGGACCATTCTATTCTGACACTTTATCATCACTGTAATAATCAGCAGTGTACAGCGATGCCAGCTAGCAAGGTAGGCGCTTGGGAAGAATTGTGAAACTGCAATTACCACCAGGTGCCTCCTACAAGTATTTCAGGAACTGTTAGAACTCTCTCTGCTTGAAACTGGGAACACTTGGCAGTCCTGCTCAGCTTTACAAATCTGCCAAGTTTGGTAAATTTAGTTCCGACATTTAAACAGCATGGGAGATTTACATCGACTTAAAAAAAAAAAAAGTTTGGCTGAATTTCTGTGTGACCGGCCACTGTTTTCAATATAGATGTTACTTGAGGGGAAAAAAAAAAAGACGCAAAGCAAATGGCTCTAGCTTGTGTTAACCCTCTATCAGCTTCCCAATCCACATACTTAACAGGCTTCCTTGCACAGGTACCAGAGGGCACCCAAACCTTTTTACAAGACGCCCTCATGGGGACACTCCAATTCCACCACTGAAGCGACAGAAGTGTAGCTGCAATCCGGTGAAGGGCCACAGGACACCTCAGAGAACACCAGGACTGGCTCAGATACTTTCTGACTGTGTTACCCACCCAAACAGAATGCTTCACGTAGGAAATTAATGTTTCCATGTGCTCTGCTCACAGAGAACGCCCAAAGAAAACAAGATGCTGGCAAGTCGAAAGAAAAGTAGTATGGACTCAAGAAAGAGGCTAGGGACCTGAGCTGGGACGTCACAGTCCTCGGGGCAAAAGCGGATCCATTTCCACCCTGCATGTGTGTGTGCGCTTGGTTGCTCGGTCATGTCTGACTCTCTCTGAACCCATGGCCTGTAGCCCGCCAGGCTCTTCTGATCATGGGATTTCCCAGGCAAGAATACTGGAGTTGCCATTTCCTTCTCCAGGGAATCTTCCTGACCGAGGGATTGAGTCTGGGTCTCCTGCATTGGCAGCTGGATTCTTCACCACTGAGCCGCCTGGGAAGCCCCTGCATTCCGCATACTTGTTAGATTATCACATAAAGGCATTCCCAGCTAACATCCCTTCTCAGGGCAGTGGGAGATCAGGCCCTAGGATGGTACCTCAGAAAAAGCTAAGATGTTAACTTCTGAGTCTTACAAGAGATGGGGATAACCCCAAATTCTAAAAAGTAGATGCCAAGATATTTACACTTAGGGGAATATTAATGCAAAGAAATACTATCAGATTTGTAATCTATGGCTAAATAGGCCATATTTGGCCAAAAGGCATTGGATATAAAAGAAACACACTACTACCTCTAGTTGGCCAACAATCCTCAGGGTAAGGTAGGCAAATTTTTTTTAGAAAGTAATACATTATAAGATAGTAAACCAAATGTCACAGGAATATGCATCACATAGTTATCAGCACTCCAGGAGGTAATCACCACTCAAAACACCATGTAAGACAATTTTACTATAAGAAACTTACAAAAGGTATGCCATCTGATAGTTCTGCCAATTTGGTTGTCATTACTTTGATTAGAAAAGTCTTTATATGGGAATATAATGTGCCATACAGTGAAGCTAGAAAAAAATGTTACCAAGTGTGTGTCTGCATGCACACATGCCCATAGGAAGGCCAAGGTAGGGCAGATATATAAAACTGCCCTACTGGTGAAATGATTCTAGGGAAGTCCTGATTTCTCATCACGTTTTCAGAAAGAAGCAACAAGTGAGACACCTGTTTCCAGAAAATGTATACAATCTAGGTATTAATTCTCTTTCTGAAATTAAAAGTCAGTTCTGCCTTAAGTTATCCTACTTTCCACTTGGACTAAGCAACCTGAAATATTAACAATGACTTGACTTCCCTGGTGGCTCAGATGGTAAAGCGTCTGTCTACAATTCAGGAGACCGAGGTTCAATCCCTGGGTTGGGAAGATTCCCCTAGAGAAGGAAATGGCAACCCACTCCAGTATTTATTGCCTGGAAAATCCCATGGAGGGAGGAACGTGGTAGGCTACACTCCATGGGGTCGCAGAGTCGGACACGACTGAGCGACTTCACTTTCACTTTTCTTTCTTGCTTCTAAGACAAAAATCTCCAAATTAATACATGCAGAAACAAGAGGGATAAGAATTTTCAACACTAATTTCCTATACACACAATGGAATATTATTCAGTCATGAAAAAGAATGAAATAATGCCATTGGCAGCAACATAGATGGACCTAGAGATTATAATACTAAGTGAAGTAAGGCCAACAGAGAAAGACAAATGTCATGTCGTATCACTTATATGTAGAATTTAAAATATGATACAAATGGATTTATTTTAAAAACAGAAATAGACTCACAGATACAGAAAACAAATTTATGGTTACCAAAGGGGAAAGGGCAAGGAAGGGCTAAATTAGGTGTTTGAGATTAGCAGATGCAAACTGCTGTACATAAAATAGACAAACAACAAGGTCCCACTGTATAGCATAGTATCTTGTAGTAAGCCACGATGAAAAAGAATAGAAAACAGAACATATGTATGCATATATGTATGAATCATTTTGCTGTATACCACAAACTAACACATTGTGAATCAATTATACTTCAATAAAATAAAAAATTACAGTATAAAATACAGCCAATGCCAATTTCTAAAACTAAGAAGGTACTAAGACTGGTATTTTCTGCGCTTTCTTTAATGATGAGCTCTGCACCTGAAGGACAAGCTGGCACTCACTCGCCTTCTCTCTCTCTCTCGTGGATACGTGTGGCTGAGTCCGTTTGCTGGTCACCTGAAACTATCACTCCATTGTTAATCAGCTATACCCCAGTGCAAAATAAAAAGTTTTTTTAAAAAGATAAATAATAATATAAATAATGAGATGAAAAAGTAAAACTCTTTATTCTCTGAACTCTCCCCCCCAAAAATAAGCAACTTTAGCATTCTACTAAATGTCAGACTACCAAATTTGGAAAAGCTTTAGGATATGCATGGATATATTCTTTATCCTGGTGAGGATGATTATATGCTAAGATCTCTCAAAGGCAAAGTTTGTAAACTTCTTCTGTGAAATTATTTTCACAAATTGTGGAGGACATCATAGCAAAGATCTTGTGTGTAAAATACTGAAACAACAAAAAAAAATATTGTTCTCATGGACCAGGTTCAAAACTGTAAGTCTGTTTATTCCTAATCAATAAAAAACAAAATCACTCTGAAGGGAAGAGTTCTTTTATTTACTTTTTTTTCAGCGTGGTTTACCTTTTTCCCCCCACATGGAAATTGTGGAGTTCCTACCCCTGCATTTTTTACATGTTGGACAACCATACAGGGAAATGAATTCATCTCTAAGAAAAATCAAGACAAAGCATCCTTGTAAATGACTGCTCATCAGTACAATTTCCGACGTGAATGAGACACAATATTTGTATTTTCAGGGGTTGGAGGATATACTGTTGCCTCTGTCTCATTCGCCTAGTTGAAGATAAAGTCTCAAACCAACAAGGTGGCCAGTGCTGCCTCCATGAATTGCCCCAGAGAATGAGAACACTGTTCTAAATTATTTACTTCAAGTCTCATCTGTGTAGCCCTGGTACCAAAGCAGATTCCTTTTACCTCAGACATTTTCAATAACAAGTGGCTAACTGGTGGGCACAAGAAGAGTTTTAGTTGTTTTGTCGAACCTTCCTCATTTTGGTTATGTGCTTTTAACTATTTCAACAGGGATTTTTAAAAATACAGCCAAAATTCTGCAGGCATATGAATGCAAAGCATGTTTTATTTAGTTAGTTTAAAATCATCATGGGGGAAAAAAGTCAGAAGAAAATGTATGGCATGACTTAAATATACCACAAATCACCCCATCTAATTATCAAGATAAGTAAATGTTTATCATATTGAAACTATCTTGACTAGAACATAATAAATTAATAATTTATCCTACATAAATATTTCTAAAGCCCTTGCCACTCCGTTGTCTGGCATTTTAATTATCAACTGGCCAGGGAGGAGGTGTCACTTGGACATTCCCATTATGCAGCCTGCGCTATAGAGAACATGGCGTGGCACCTGGGCACTGAAAATAAAAATATACTTTTATGAATAGAAAGGTCATGAATATTGAGAATGTGAAAACTGAGGGAAATTAATAAATTAACCAGGATGTTGCTTATTAAAATTTCATATCAGTAATCTTATTAAAACATACTGCAAGTATTGAGTAAAGTGGTCATTAAGTATTTTCCTCATCATAGGCGACAGAGCCTTCTCAAGGGAGAGATTGTAAACAATCCTCTCCGTGGTGTTAGCTGAGGTTGTGTAAGACCAAGAAACATGTTGACTGAGAAGGAGCAGAACAGCCTCTGCAGAGGGGAGAAAGGCACCTTCTACCAGAGCTCTTGGGTTACAGGTCACTGACAAGAAGGGAGTTGGGCAGAAAGAGCCGCCCACTGGCCTTCTCCCTCATCCTTTAATGGAGAGGTTTGTAAGCTCCAAAATATTTCCAGCACCAGCAAACAATACATGAGGCTGGCAGAAAATTCAATAAAAGCAAAATAATTCAAAGCACAAACAAGAGATAATATAATGCCATTTAGCTTCATTGCTAATACAGGTTATCTCTAAAAACAAAGCAAAGAGTTGGGGCCAGGAATTCCCTGGTCGTCCAGTGGTTAGGATTCTGCTTTCACTGTGGTGAGCACAGGATTGAGCCCTGGTTAGGAAATGAAAATTCTGCAACTCATGCAATGTGACCAACAACAACAAAAAAAACACTGTGGCTAATTTTTTAAACAGAAAAATCAATATGCTTATGATTTCTAGTATTTTAATAAT